CCGCCGCCGCCGCCCACCAGCCCCGGCGCCTGGTACACGCCCGCCGCGCCCGCCATGAAGCTCTGCACGGGCGGCACGGCGAAGGCCGACTGGCCGCCCAGCACGGGCTCGGGGGGCACGCCGCCGCCATAGGGCGAGTGCACCACGGGGAAGGCGCCGCCGCCGTACTGCTGGGCGCCCACGTAGCCGCTGCCACACACGGGGCTGAAGGGCAGGAAGGGGAAGGGGAAGACGGACGGCCCCGAGAACGGGTGCTGGAAGTAGTTGGCGTAGCTGACGGTCAGGCCGCTGGAGCCACAGCTGCCGCTGCACCCGCACGAAGTGCACACGACGCAGCCCGGGGGTGGCGCGGGCGCGGGCTGCTGGGGCGCCGACTGCTGCTGATGGTGGTGGTGGTGGTGGTGGTTCTGGGCGGAGGCGGGAATGTTCCCGGGGGAGCCGGAGCCGCCGCCGCCGCTGTAGAAACTGCTTTCGGGGGCCGAGGAGAGCGCGGGGCTGGAGCTGGGGGCCGGGCAGCTGGGCACGGTGGCCATGCTGGCGAAGGACGTGGAGGGGTGGCTGCTGGAGGAGGCAGTGTTGCTGTTCGCACAGAAGCCGCCCTGCAGGGGCCCCACGGGCACACTGCTCATCGCAGAGAAGGCAGCTTTGGTGTTGGCGGTGTACAGGGCAGTCCGGGGGTTTATTATTGCAGGGGGCACGCTTATTTGCACGTTATTAGAACAGGGAGTTTGCCCGGAAATGGCAGAATCCGCGGGGACGGATGAAGACACCAGGAGTTTGATGGGGGGCCGAGCCACGTGGAAGACGGTGCTGGACGTGCCCGCAGCAGCGGTGCTGGTCTCCCCGCCCGGGGCGGGCTGCGGGGCCGGCTTCAGGACTCTGTCCAGCGCGGACGTGTGCACGACTTTGGCGCGGGGACCAAAGGAGACGGTGGGTGACACGGCGCTGCTCTCGGCAAGCGCGGAGAGGACCTGCAGGGGCTGCTGGGGGCCGGGCGTGGGGGCCGCGTCGATCACAGCGTGGCCGAAGTTCTTGTCCACTTTGATGCCGCCTCTTGGTCCCGAGAGCTTACTCCGTTCTTCGAGAGACAGCAGCGAGTGCACGGAAGGCGGGAGGAGCTTCATGTCCGCGCCCCCCCTCTCCGACTTGTGCACGGAATTCAGCATCCGGATGGGCGCCAGGTGTGAGGCCGCAGCCATCATCTGGGGGGGCAGGGCGTGGTGGCCCGATGGACTGGAGCCCGCCTCGTTCTGCACGGGGAGAACCTGGGCCGTGGGCCTGGCAGAGCTTGAAGCGAAGTGGTTCAGGAGCATGACGGGCTTCTCCTTGTCCGAGCCCTCCAAGTGAATCTCCACACCTAGAGACGGGGACAGAGCGGTCAGCGCGCCGCCCCGGGCCAGCGCAGGGCCAGCAGAGTGCTCGGCACGCCGGGCGTCCTTACGTCTGTCGTTCTCCTCGGCGCTGTCCGAGCTCTCTTCCCGGGCCTGCACCCCCATCGGGCTGGGCGAGGAGCTGGAGCACTCGGAGGAGCTGCCTTCCCGGGCCGTCTGGTGAGGGGGCTGCTCCACTTCCACCCGCAGCGCTGCGGAAAAGGGGGGCCCACACGGGTCGCGCCGGCCGGCGGCTATCACACCCTCCCCGCCCCACTCGAGGCACACCCGTCGCGCTGCCCCCGTGAGGCGGGTGCCATCACCCCACTTCAGACAGGACCCTGACGTTCGGAGAACACAGACTGCCGAGGGCCCACAGCGAGTTACTCACAGATGTGTGCGTGGGGCCGGGGGCCGCTGTGCCTCCCTACTCAAACGCCTGAGAAGGGAGAAGGGTCCCCCGGCCACCACGGTGCTACGTTAAGTGAGATCCACAACACCGAGGGACACCCGACACCCTGTTTTACAAGACCAAGGGACGTGACAACTTTGTAGTCAAATGACCACTTAAAAGCCACACAGGCAGGTTTTTCTTCTTGGCTGTTACTGTCCATACGAGGGGCGGCCACCACAGGCGTCCTCCGCCCCGTCTGAAGAGGTCCCCCGAGAGGGAGGCTGCGGTCAGGCAGGCCGGGCAGTTCGGGCCAAGGACCTAAACATGACCTCTCTGCACCCGCCTGGGGAAGAAGAGTATCTTCATCTATTTTGGGGATTTCCTTCTCTTTCCCTCTTGCCAGGTAGCTTCTGGCTCTACTTCTTTTGCCCCAACACCTTCAGGCGAGCCTCCAGCTTCTAACCCAAACGTCCCTTCGATTTTCTAGCGGTGGAGACGGTAAAAGCCAAAATAATGAGAAGTAACCGTATAGACTAAAATTATGCAAATGGCAATAGGGTGCGGTCTGTGATCTAACGATTCTCAAGAGGAAGGGCCCGAGATCTTGCATCACGGCCACCCGTGCCCATCCGTCCGTCCACACCTACCTGCAGCGTGGGCGCCTCGCACGGTCTGCACGGGACCCACGTGGCTGGTCGGGGGGACGCGAGCCACTCCGCTGCCGGTGACCGGGGGTGGAGCTGCAGGGTTCAGGCACCGTTTCTCTGACTTCTCCCTGTGTGGCAAGAAAGGGTGTGAGCAAGTGAGCGCTCAGGTCCTCTGTGGAGGAACTGCTTTCGTGCAGATTCCTTACAGGGGTGACTGCCCCGCACATGTCCCCAGGTGTGGAAAACGAGGCACTGTGGCTGGTCAGATTCACTGCCAAGGGCCTTGCCTGGCACACCAAAACCACATCTGTAGAATTTTAAAAGCATTAATGAAGCTTTGATAAGCAATCAAAATAATCCAATCAATGGCATTTAACTACAAGTGCTGGTACCTGTTCAGCGTAGAGGCCGCTTTTAGGAAAACAGGCTTGGGCGATGTAATGTGGATCGAAGACAGCCAGGCCCAGACCCACCCTGAAATATCCACTGGCCCTAACTGACCAGCGTGCTCCTTACAACCAGGCACAGTTAGCAAAAATGGGAGAATTCCAGGCGTCGCAGTCCTTCCTCATCTTCCGCCTTTAGGAAGAGCCTCCTCCCCTACCGCCTCTTGGCAGACAGTCTCTCCTCTGCTGTCCTGCCCCTGCTCCCTGGTGCATTCAGTAGACTTCTATCTCCTTTGCTCTGCCTCAGGTGAATTCTTTCAACGCCTAGGTTTCCACCTGATCGTCATCCCACATTTGGGGGCCCCCATCTGATCAGGAGACACCCCCCCCCCCGTATGTTAGAAATGAAAATAAACACACACATTCTGCAGCTGCACACTTACTTCTCCAGCTCTAGCTGAGTCTTGAGTTTTTTCTTTGCTCCCATGGTGAGGGATTCAAATTTATTTAGATCTTCCTCAGTAAGGCTCAGAAACTTCCATAGAAGAAAGAAATTACAAAGTTATTGAGAATCAACTTTGAAAACAAAGAACCTGAGACATAACTTAATAAATGCATTCTACCAGTAGGAGAGGTAAATGGATCAAACCTAACTGGACAATGAAAGCCTTGGGAACATGAGGTCACTTGCTAAATGATATGGTGTCCCTTGTTCAAAATACGAAACGGTCACTCTACACATGAGGCTCACAGGCCGTGTCCCCCAGGCCCTCCACTCACCGCCTGCAGAGGCCGGGGCACCTGGAAGGTCCACGACAGGCAAGTAAAGAAAATGCCCTCAGTTTCCACTTCTACAGAGACTGGACCGGTGAAAGTGTCCCCCTCCTGTTCTGGGATCTACCCCCCAAATGCAAGCCATTTATTCTCCTGCGGACAGGGACTGTTCTTTTAACAGCACTTTTGTCTCAAACACCACCACTTTAGGGACAAAGCCACTTTGTCCTCAAGCAAGTGATCCAGAAGAGCAGAGCAGATGTCATCTGAATCGAATGGCTAGCTAACCGGAGGTCTGACACCAAGAAAACACAACACTCTGGTTCCGTAATGTCACTGGTGATGTTTATGGCTAAAATTCAACTCCTACATTGTAACATTTTAAATTGACCATGAGGCAAGGCTGGCAAAATGTGGTTTTCAAGAGTTATGAATCGTAAGCCAAGGGTATTACAAATACAGTAAAATCTTGGTTTGTCAGCATAATTCATTCCAGAAACATGCTTGTAATCAAAGTACTCATATCGAAGCGAATTTCAAGAACCACTGGCTCAGTTGTGATCATGTGACGTTCAACATCATGTACGACTCATAGTGCAAGACATTGCTCGTTTATCAAGTTAAAATTTATTAGAAATGTTTGCTCGTCTTGCAAAACACTTGCAGAACAGGAACAAGTTACTCGCAATCCCAGGTTTTACTGTATACTTAAGAGCCGTCTTTTATTAGGTACTAAAAGCTTGATTTCTAGGTTCAATTGCAGATTTTTGGACACATGAAATTTTTACATAGCTAAAAGCACCGAGTGACTGCACCCAGCAGGGGGAGTCAGTTCAAACACTGCTACAGGCCTCATTTAGTTTTATCGCCAAGACACCAAGACTTAAGAAACTTCAGAATCTTCTAGAACGAAAAAATGCTCACCAAAATTCTCTATTGTAAAAAACTATCCCTATGTAGAACTGCTCGAAAGACACAAAACTGATCTATTCCTTTTGGTTCTATGACCCTCAATCGAGCCAGATCATCAGTGGGTTGTTCCCTTGGGTCCAAGCATTCGGGACCCCTGTAAAATGGGCCCTTCCTGCACCGGAAGGGAGCGTGCGCACCAGAAATTCCCCATTCCTGCCGATGGCAGGGACGCTGGGGGATACGATGTCCTTCAAATTGCACGGAGTATCTAACCTGTGGAGACCACAGTTAGCTTTAAAAAAACATGTTTACAACCAGTCCTGTTCCAGTTTTTGCTTTGGCTGCAGGGAGACTTCAAATCCAAACCCACCACCCCCCTCCAGTGAGCGTGCAGGACTTGGGGCACACACCCGTAGGTGTCAAATACCAGGCCGTGTGACTTCCACAGCATGGATGGCAAGACACCCAACTCAAGCCCGCTAGGAACGAGCTCAGAGGAAGACTGCGTTGCCTGCGGGTCACCCACGTACCTTCTCCATCGTGAGCTGTTTGAAGACGGGGTAATACTTGTGCAAGCGCAGTTTCCTAAGCCAGTCTAAGATCCCATTCTGCTCCTGGGTCTGAGGGGTCTGCAGACTGGAGGGCATCAGGATGGCGGGCGACGTGTCCATCTGGGCCCGGTAGGCCAGGGCTGAGCCGGCACCCCCCGCGTGGGAGCAGTGGGGCAAGGCGGCCGCGGTGGCTGAGTGCTGCATGTGGTGCTGGGCGCCACTCTGAGAGGAGGGGATGCCGGCCACGCCACACACGGGCCTGTGGGGACAGCAGACAGGTGGTTGCTGCCGTGGACGAGAGAGAGGGGCACGGGGGCCAGCTCCGACAGGCTGGACTGCACGGGAGGCCCAGCCCCTGCCGACATCAGAGCCCTTTTTTGCCGCCGCCCCTCCCCGACACCACCACCCTGAAGGCGTCCGTAGCTGTGCACACGTACACATATGTGCACACGCTTCTGTATCTGTAGGGTGTGCGTGAGTACACGCATCTGTGCGTAGACAGGTGCATTCGTATGCTCACATTGGAGCGTATGCACACGTATATGTGTTCGTGTGTGTCACCGCCAGACTTTTGGTTTCACTGTCTCATTTGTTACTTCTGTCATACGTGACAGAACGGACTCCTACATCTTTAACAACTGAATGTGTGTTTTCTGACCGAGTCCCAGCAGCGGGCTGAGAGGAGCGCTCCGCATTCGGCTTTCTGCCCTGGCCCCGTTCACACCAGACCGCAAATCCACACGTGTATCGCGTGCTCCCTCTGTGCCACGCGGAGGGGAAGAGGGCAGCACTTCCACGGGCCTCGTTACCTGACGGCATCGTCACACCATCTGTGCACCTGTGTGACTGTGACACGGGCCCATTTTAATGGCCCGTTTGTCCCCTGAGCACTGCGACAGTTGCTGTCGGGCCTCATGCTGACAGAGGATCCTTGGAGCACTGGCTGTGCCACCTCATGGCCACAATCGCTCCCTGGTTGCTTATAAAAAAGAAGATTCCCTGAAATTCTGGTTTCCTAGAATGTGTGGGGCCCGGAGACTGGCATTTGCGATAAAGGGTCCTTGTGAATTCTGGCTCCAGTAGCTCAGAAAACCACTTGTTTCTCTATGTGGAGAAGTCATAAACCAGAGCATCTGTATCCAATCCTCTCCCAGCATTATTCGAGACCAACTCCAAAAATGACTTCACTCTGGGAACAAGTCTTTACACATCATCAGCAGAAGCTCCACCCTGACCTGAAACGTGCTGGTTACCCAGGAACGTCTCACCTTCCAGACACGCCCATCACGGTGCCCACTTTGGAAAGGGAAGGGGTGCCAGGACCTGTAAGTTACAATAAATGTCAGAAAGTGTACACACAATAAAACGGTTTTATGTATTTAATCGCATTTCACAAACTCACTTGGACTTTGAAGCTGTTGGGTGGGAGACGAAGTGCTGAAAAATTTCTTAATGTGGTCATTTTTCAATACGTGAGAAGGTAATGAAGTCAAATACCTAAAAATTAAACAAAGTGGTTTTATCAGCATTAAGGTGGTATTCCCAAAAACTCACTGGGAGACAAATGTTAATTTCCAATGAAGAGAAACACACACTAGAGTGAGGGGAACAAAAGCACCACAACCCGTACTCTTTCTGCTTCAATTCGGCTGGACCCGTTACGACTCTTACCACCCCCCGGGGCCACCTCCGTCGCAGGGGCTGGGTCTCCCGGCCCGGACCCAGGCAACAGGCCTGCCCGCTCCGCACACTGACCGAGCCAGGGCGCGCTCTGCGGCTGGGGGACGCTGGCCGGGGGACCTCATCGGGCCCTGTTTTGCCCTGCAACAGTCTCAACTTTCCACTACGGGACCTCATTTCATCAAACTGTCAAAATCACACTAAACAGTGACATATACTATGAAATTCCTTTACTCGTATCTTCGAAAGCATGCCTTTCAATTCTCCGTAAGGGAGGAAAATCCATGGAGGCGAAACAGAGACCCAGACTGCTGAACACAACATGTCCCCTCAAGAGCTGCTGGGGTGACCACGAGGCTCAGGGGTGCACTCGCCCAGCCCTGGCCACGCCACAAGGCCCACGGGCAGGCACCACGGGGCAGCACCCCTGGCCCGCGGGTGCAGGGGCACGGTGGCGCGTTACCTCAGGTCCGCTTCCAGATCCATGTGGCTTCGCTCTACGTAAAAGGAATCTGGGCCGGCCAAGCAAGGAATGAATTTCTCCAGATTTTCTTCAGGGTACAGCTGAGGTAACTGAAAGAGACAGAAAAGCATCGGAGGTCTGTCAAAATTCACTTGACACGGGAACCCCTGCGGTTGAGAACTGGGTAGGTCCTGGGTGCTGACATCTGTGGGACACTATAGCCCACCCTTGTCTCAGATCTCTGGGATTTTACTTCCACTCGGGATGGGAAAGCCACAGGAGAACATCACTCCCACCACAGCTTCAGGAAAAAGCTTGGTCATCTACACAATCTCCTTCCTGTGAGCCCATCAGAGAACTAAGTTGCGAGGTCACTATGTGAACTGAATTTCAAGAGGGACCTGCCCCTCCAAGGAGAGACAAAACACATGACCCATCTCTGTGGCAGAGCACAAGGAAGAGGGGGCCACCACGCCAGCAGGCAGAAGAGGTCAGAAGATGGGACACTTCCCGCAGGCTGAGTGTGGGCCAAACATCAGTCAGGCGAGAGCCCCAGACACCAGGGGAGCGTGCCCTCCTTCCCAAGCTTGCTTCCACAGGAGACTGGAGAGAGTCCCCAGGGTGGCAGAGGTGGGGGCTGGCTACCCCTGGGGGCCTGGCAGGAACCCCCAATGCCTCTTCCTGGAGCCTTCTCTAAATCCGAGACAAAAGCCCTTAAGCCTTAGGGATGAGGCGGAAGCAATACCCTCCTGCCTCTACAGGAGGGGAGGGAGTCTGCTTGGCATGAGGCCACAGGCAGAGACGCCCTGCTTCTGGGGGGAAGGCAGTACGCGCACGACCCTCTGGCCCTGACGAAAAAGCAAAAACCCTCTTGGGCAGAGGATGCTACGCCAGGACAAAGCCGGGATCAGCCACTGTTGGGGAAGAAAGGGGCAGGGATGCCGAGAAAGCCCCCCAGGGCCCCGTGCCTGGGACTGAGGCTGGACCAAGGGGATGGAGAACACCTCACCCCTACGTCTGTTACCAAGCAACAAGTGACCGCAGCCTCCCCTCCGGTTCAGGGAGAGCCCCTCCGGGCCATGGACACAGAGGACTACTGAGGGCTAAGAATGAAGTCGGACCACTGACAGGAACCTCTGACACTGCAGGCCCCTCCCCCGGCTTCAGGTGCAGTGAGGGACCAGAAGCCCGCAGGGTACACAAGCCCACAGCAGCAACAAAACCCAAACCCAGCTCAACTCCTGACTGGACCAATGCGAGGACCCCCCCCAAGGGCCTGAGAGCAGCGGCAGGGCGCCCATTCCCAAGCAGATACATGGCTTCCCTCGGTTTCTACATTTTCTAAGCACGATGTCTATCATTCAGTCAAAAATTGCAAGATACAGGGGGAAAAAATAAGAGGGAAAAAAAACTACGGTCAAGCTAATCATCAGAGCCAGACTCAGAGATAACCCAGATGCTGGAACTATCAGACAGGATTACAAAATAACCATGATTAACATACTGAAGGATTTAGTGAGAACACAGACAACACACATGAACAAACAGGAAATCATAGCAGAGAGATGGAAACTTGAGTAGAAGACGTGTCAAACAGAAAAGCTAGAAGAAACAAAAAAAACCCAGGGAAACAAAACCACGGTCCCAGAGATGAAGAACTCGGCACGTTAACTAGCCTCAGGAGCAGCCTGGGCAGAGGTGAGGAGAAGCCCCAGGGAACTTGAAAACAGGGCAACAGAAACTGTCCAACCGAAACACACAGCGGAAAGAGCAAGAAAAACAAACCGAGCACCCAAGGGCTGTGGACAATGTCCAAGGTCCAGGTGCATGGAGCGGACATCCCAGGGCCAGAGAAAGGATGGGGCAGAAGAAACATGTGAAGAGATCATGGGTGAGAATCCTCCAGAATTAACAAAAGGCAATAAACCAGATCCCCAAGGAGGCCAGGGAGCCCAAAGTCCAGCAGACAAGCAGCACTGCGCCCACCCAGCGGGTCCAAGTTCCCGCCTGCATCACCACAGGCCAGAGCGATGGACTTCGTACCAATCGAGAGGCCAGGCACACAGGAGAGGAAATGTAGCGTTCTCAGTGTGACAGAGGAAAGTGCATCCAGGGGGAGGGGCAGTGATCCCAGAAAGCATGGCTCACAGGCCAGGAGGAAAGGCGCCAGCAAACAACTTCTGTCTGAGCTTTTAAAACAGGACCCATCACCTGGATTTTCTCCTACAGGATTACGTCCTTGACTTTATAGTGAAAAACGTAACACTCGCTTCGGAGACACCTTACATACGTCACTCCATGAAATAAGGGGACTCATTAAGATGCACCTGCTTTGGCTAAAGACAGAGGTTCACCACTCTGACCCGGGCCAGTGGACTCCGAACACGTATTAGCCATAAAGGCACACACGTGCCTATGTATGTACACATGTCAAGTGGCATTTAGTTACTACTGGAACCTTTTGTTCAGGTGACAGCTGTTGAAACAACTGGAAAATCCAGTATGTACGACAGACCCAGGTGGAAGCAGGTGGAGTCTCTCTGAGCCTCCGCTGCAGAGTAACCACACCAAACACCCCTCAGCTGCCTGTGCAGGCCACAGCGTCCTGCGTCTTCGTGCTCTCCACAACTGCAGGGAGATCGGATCGCGGCACCGGGGACCAGGCTTTTATGGCCATGCACCAATTACTTGCTCTGCCAGCTGAAGGAAGCAATCCACTGAAATCACTCTGCAGTGTTATCAAGAGCCTTTTAATTTTTGAAGAGCCCTTAATCACCTTACCTTTGACATAAATTCAGTCACTTCAGAGGAAGATTTGGTTACTGATGTTACTGAAGAATCAGACCACAAGACCTTGAAAACAAACAAACAAACAAACCTTAAAAACAGACGCCACATGTGTGACTCACAACGCACCTGTCCGGGGAATCTTCGTGGGCACAGGTGCAGTGAGTGCGATGAGCCCTAAGTGTGCTGGACCTTGTGAACGGGGTAGTTACACATCCCCTGACTCGTGAGAGGAAAGCTCACCTGGCTCAAGTCCCTGAAGGCTCAGCTTCCTGTCGTGTGCAATTATTCAAATATCACCAATTACTCACAAGCATGGAGTCTGAGGCTGGCTCCACAAACTCGTACGCAGTCGCTGACCCTTACGACCGGCCGTGTATGCCAGCGCCCACCGTCCTCAAGTGCACCTCCTCTTAGGTCAGAAGGAGACAAGGCCCCTGCCCTCGGGGACCTGACAGAACAGGCCCGGGCCAGTCAGAACTAGCAGAGCGCTGGGGCCACGGGCTGGGTAGAAAGCACCAGAAAGGGCTTTCTGGAAGAAGCTCTACAGTGCCGCGTGTGCCCAAGACTGTCCATACTGCACTTACTCACCCGCACACGAGGGGTGGGAGGTTGTATTTCATTCCGGGGTCAAAGCGGGTCTCCCGAGACGGACTGCATGCGCCCTGGGGGGAGGGCTGTGTCACCTCCCTCCCATTTTTCCAGTGTTTCCTGACCACCTGTGGGC